AAACACCAATTTTCAGGAGCAAGAGGCAACAGTTCATTATTATGCTTTGCACAAATCTAATATAAGGGCCATTTAAAACAGAAACAAATGTGCAATTGTTTAGAAAAATGTATTCTTTGTGGAACAGTTGACTTCCAATTGCATTTCATTTCTCTTGGGCTACTGACAGCACTCGGTGGAGTCCGTTCTGTGTTCAGTGAATCCATGTCACCAGGCAAAATGCTCACACAACATAACCCTGTCTATTTCTGTAGAAATGGCTCATAGGTGTTAAATATGCAAATATGCTGTAAAAGGTCTTAGCATTTCACATGATTCTCTTGGGTGAAATCTGCATTACACTGTCTAAGATAAAACAAATGAATGGGTCCTGGCTCTTTGAAACCCAGAGCAAGGCAGAAGGCTTCCTTTTATTTCTTTGTCTCTCTTTTTTTAACTCATGAGTTAAGTACCATGTAATTAGTCACATATATTGGTTATATTAAAAGAAATTGTTTCTCTGGAGAAATCTATGCCCTTCTTTCTGTCCTTTTCTGAAGAGAAAAATGGAATATCCAGTTACATGACTTAAATGATGGGCACACTACAACGGGAGCCACTTTGCGGAGAGCACTCCTCACGGCTTGGCTCTGAGCCTCACGGACGACTAGTGGTGGTTCCAGGTGGCCTGGCTTGCAGGTGGGGACAGAACATCGTGGCTTAGGAGCTTTTTAAATTATTATTTTAAAGGTAGAGGAGCAGGGCAGGTTATTTGCCTGTGGCAGCTGGGCCGTGGCTGAAACCGGGGGCCAGAGCTGGGGACTCGGTCTCCCCTGAGGGCTGGGACCAGCACCTGCTCCTGCGTGTGCGTGTGTGAGTGAGTGGGTGCGTGAGTAAGTGCGTGGGATGGGAAGCAGAGGTGGGCTCGGATTTTAGCCTTTCAGACATGGCATGAAGACCTTCTGAGTGGCAGCTAAACCCTGCTTGCCACAATGCCCACCCCTTGGTGGGCAAACCTTGAAGGGAAAGTCAGTAAGACTGTTTGCTAGGAATGTAACTCCGTTCAGGACAGAGCTCAAGGCAATTATGGGAAGACAAAAAGACCCAGTACCCAAAAGGTGAAATCCACGCGGTGCGGCATTTCATCTGAAATGTTCAGTGACTCAGAAAAGCAGGACAGTGCGCCGATAACGGGAGGCAAGAGATAAAACAGCTCACGACAAACTGACCAGCCAGTTAGCAAGAGGGGCCAATGTCATGGCTCAACAGGCTAACCCTCTGCCTTTAAGGATCAACAACCATATGGGCACTGGTTCATGTCCCGGCTACTCCACTTCTGATCCAGCTCCTTTCTTACGGCCTGCGAAACCAATGGAGGATGGCTCAAGCCCTTGGGCCCTGCAACCAGTGTGGGAGACCCAGAAGAAGCTCCTGGTTCCTGGTCTGGATTGGCTCAGCTCTGGCCACTGCAGCCATTTGGGGAGTAAAACTGGATGGAAGAGCTTTGTCTGTCTTTCATTATGCAAATCTGCCTTTCTTAGAAAAATTTTAAAATCTTAAAAAATTGGCTCCCATGTTCAGAAATTTAAGTAGGGGGCATTCAAGTTACACACACAGATACACACACACCAAAGTTTCAGAGATTAAAAGCTACCATCTGCAACATGAGGGCTTACTGAATGGGACTGACGGCAGAACAGACACGAGAGAAAAGATTAGTGAGCTTAGGCACAAAGAATAAAAGTATCCAGAGCTGTGCAATGTGGGACTTGATGCCTCGCTAAGGACACCTGGACACCTATCCCCGCAGAAGTAAAGATGGGAAGCTAAAGCTTCTAAAGAAAAAGGCTCAGAATTTTGCAAATTTAATGAAACTAATAAACTCACAGTTCTTGCAAGCTCAGTGAACTGCACTGTACAGGAAATAGGAAGAATATCACATCACGCCATACCACAAACCGTACCAAACTCACGAAGCAGCCCACCATCACCACCAAAGTCCCTATGTTCACAAGATAACAGGAGAAAAAGCCCCAGGAAGCAAGAAGACAGCAAGCAAACATCTTAAAAGTCCCCGAATATTAAGTGGAGGCTGTAAGAGAAATGCCATCCCAGGGAAGGAACTGCTGAAGTTAAAAGCAGCAACAATGCGAGATGGGCTGCGCCTGACAACAGTGACATGTGTGACAACCATATAATCACTTGCAGGTAGACTGAGGTAAGTTAAAGATCACTGAGTCCAAAAGAAGACAGAACCACAGGAAAAGATGGAACAGAGAATGCGAAGACATAGAACACGAACAGCAAGATGACAGAGGTGAGTGCCACCATCGCTATAATCAGGTTAAGTGTACATGGTGCCTTCCAACTTGAAGACAGAGATGCTAACACTGGCAGTTGTCCCAAGCTTCCCAGTTATATAAGTTCCAATCGCATTATGTACTTTTTCAATGGATGTGTCTTTTAAATGCAGGGGTGTCCAGCACTTGGTGCCGAGCCGCGGCCTCAAAGACCTGTTTATAGCCCCTCCTCGCGCGGCCCTAAGAATCCAGTGTGGAATGCGGAAAGCAGGTGGACAGTCCTTGTCCTGTGGGAGGGGTTTGGCTGAAGGAGCTTGAGGCTCCTCTGCACATCCAGAAAAGCCCGAGGGTTCTTTAGAACCACCCACAAAGGACCACAGCTTGGATTGCCCTGGTTACCTCAACGGAGCTTTTCACACCTGCCAGAATAAACACTGGAAATTCAGAGGCCACGTGGGGTCTTCTGCCAAGTGCACTGCAGGGCCCTTTCTGTTGTCTTCTCCCCTACCTGTCCTCCAGCAGGGGCTCTCAATCACCCCCTTTGGTAAGGCCTGCTGGTAACTGGAGCTTAAAGGCTACTTAGTACCACACGGTGATACAACAGAGAGTCAGGCCTGGAAGGTGAAGGCACCTTGGCCCAAGGTCCAGGAGCTATGACCTGGGTGACTCATTCACCCTGATTCGAGCACCTCAGGGAAACCTCCATTCCTACGTGACCACCCCACTTCCAGCCTCCTGAAAAAGCGGGCCTCAACTGTATAGCCACTTCTTCTGGAATGTTCTGTCTCCTACTGTAATACAAATCATAGTCAGCATGAACCTGCAGTGAAACTCCAGTCTATCTGGTCCTACTGAGCCACCTGTGTGATCCATACACTTCTCTTAGCCATCCTAACACCTGGCTTGAGCTGCTCTTGCCTCTGTGTGTTACCATGGAGAGAAGGGAGGCTCCGGCTAGGGAAATGGACCAACTGCACACAGCAGGTGATAGAATTGGGCAGGTGAGACGTGGTCCAGCCACCTCTCCGATTCCAGTGACTGTGAGCCCCCCACTCCCACCACGTCAGGGCGGTTGGTAGCTCGCATGTGTGTGCCGGTGGTCTGCATCTCCCACATGGTGCACGGCTTCACTTGCCATCCACTGCCGCTTTCATTTTTGCAGTGCTTTCTGGTCTGAATTTTAACTTGACCTGAGCAAGGGGCTTGGGAAAGGCAGGAGTCTGTCGCAGAGCCCCTCAGGTAGTGCTTGCCGCATCGCACCAACGGGCAGCGACCACTGGCTGTGTTCCAACCTATCTTCATTGGTCACAACTTTCTCTCCAGTGAAGAAAAATGTACATTTCACCATTTGTAGCTTGGGCCAGTGGAAAGCCCTGGGAATCCAGTTCAGTCACTTAGGCACTGGCATAGCCTGACACTGCTTATGCTGGGAATGAGGGCAGGGGTACTCCGTACTGACCAGAATAGTACCCCATCCACCTGCCCACGGCATGTCTCACAGGACTACCATTCCGTGATGGCCTCGGAGCGGCCGCCTGCTGGTCCCCGCAGTGGCAGCTGCAGTCCTTTCTCGGGTCCTGGTGTGAGAGAAAACCGGGCTCCCTCTCACTCCCGAGGCCAAGGATGCGCTCAGCGGCACACTGTGTGATTCTGGGGACCCAGAAATACCGCAGCGGGAAGTAAGCGCCCACCAAGCACAGGTGTGGAACGCCCGGGCACCCTGTCTTAGCTGGCCACTGCCAGTCCTTCCGGCGCAGCCTGTGCATCCCGGCGCGGGCTTGCCGAGAACAGAAGGCCGACCTGGCGCGGGAGACTTAGTGGGAAGTTGCCAAGGTAGCAACCGGGTCTCGGAGCGCTCCGGGTCCGGGAACCGCCTGCGCACCCGCGAGAGTGCCCTCCACCCACGGCTCAGCTTCCTCGCTCTTGTCACTTCTCTTTCTCGTCGGTTTTCCTACTGATCGTAGAGCCAGGACACAAAGGGACCTGCTCCACTCGGCAGGTGGATTTGAGGGAATGTGACAGCGGAGCTGCCTCTGCCACCGTGTCCTCCTGTGGGCTGTATCCTCGCCTGAACAGACACCTGGCACACAGGTGGGCACAATATAGCACCTGTTGCCGAGGCGCGCTCCTCGGGCTGCGGTCACTCCCGCCGGGTGGGCGCAGCGCCCGGCACAAAGCCTCATAAAATAGGGATCCCAATTTACAAAGTCGCGCGGTCAAAGTGGGAAGAACTGGACGCAAGCCACCGTGGTCCGGAGGCTCCGCCGCCTGGCACCCAGCTCCCCGAGGCCGCGTCCCCGGGGCCCGCCGACCAAGCCTGGGTCCCCCGCGCCCCGACCCGCCGCAGCCTCCCCGGGTGGCCGGGGCAGCCCGGGCGCGTCCCGCCGCCTGCAGCATCTCGGCGCGGCCGGGGGTCGCGGCGCGGTGGGAGGGGCGCGCCTCCCGCTGATTGGCCGACGGCCGGGGGCGGGCTCGCACGGGCTCCCGGGCAGCCCCAGGCCGGCGGCCTCCACGCTGCCGGGCCAGACGCCTGGGCGCGCGGGCGGACCTGCCGAGGCCTCCGCGGCGCCGGGCGGAGCGGCCCGAGGGAGTCGGCGATGAGGCGCGGGCCGCGGGCGTGCGGGTGGGCGCAGCGGCGAGGCCGGCGGGGCGCGGGCGGCTGCTGCGGGCGGGACTGAGGCGCGGCGCGGGGCTCTTCCCGGCCCGGTTCCCGGCGCGGCCATGCGGGCTGCCGAGTGGCTCGCGGGGCTGCTCTGCCAGCTCGCGCTCCTGGCCGCCCGCTGTCGGGACGTTCGCTTGCATCCCAGGCAAGGTGAGCTCCCCGGCCGGCGAGGGCGGGAGGCGGGGGCGCCAGCCGGTCCCGGGGTCCCCCGGGCGCGCCGGGTCGCTGTCAGCCCCGGGCCGGCACGTGGGGCGGGCGCGCGTGGGCGGGACACGGGCTCCGGGGCGGTGTGCCGGGCGCGCACGTGTGCGGGCCTCCAGCGGCTCTCCGTGTGTGGTTGCAGAAGCGCTGGTGAAGACGCTGGCCTCGTACGAGGTGGTGACCCCGGCGCGGGTCGACGAGTTCGGAGCGGCGTTCCCCCAGAGCCGCCACTTCAGCCGGAGGAAGCGCAGCCCCGGGGCGCCTGAGCTCGCCTTGGTCCCGACTTTTTACCGCATCAGCGCCTACGGACAGCTCTTCCAGCTAAACCTGAGCGCCGATGCCGCCTTCCTGGCTGCTGGCTACACCGAGGTGCATCTGGGAGCCCCTGCGCACGGGGCGCACGAGCCAGACGCACCGCCCCCAGACTTGCGCCACTGCTTCTACCGCGGTCAGGTGAACGCGCGCCCGGAGCTCAAGGCCGTGTTCAGCCTGTGCGGGGGCCTGGTAAGCTGAGGCTTGGGGTGGGGCCTCGGGGTTCCCACTGGGTGGCTAGGGGGTGCGAACCAGCAGTGGGGACGGGCGGAGCCCCGAAGAGCCAGCCCTGCCTCCCCGGCAGAGCCTCCCTGGTCAAGCCTGGAGCATCTCTCAGAGGGATCAGGGAGTGCCCTGAGGGTGAGTACGGGAGGGGGTTCCTACCGTGGGACAGCCTCTGTCCCTGAGGTGCACTATTGCTGCAGGGGCAGGACCCCTGGTTTTACCCAGTTTGGTTGTAGGATTTGCAAGTTTAACAGGCAAAGGCTTCCTGAGCAAGCCTTGCAAAGGAGAACGCTTGCTTGCCTGATCTGGTGGCAGCGGAGGGGGGGGGGGGAGAGCTGCGCTGTGACTGCAGAAGGTGGCCCCCCGATAGAGGACAGGAAATACGCAGAACCCCGACTTCTCCGGGCCCTGTTGTTTGCTTCTAACACAGGTTCTCAGGGTTTTTGTTTATTTTTGTTGTGAGCTACACTTGGGGAAAGCTCTTCAGCATGACTTCTTAACTTGTAAATGAAATGACCTGTGCAGTATTAAAAAAGGAAGCCAGTAGAATAAAAGCAGAGATGGGAATGTTTCAAAGCCAGTTTATATCCCTTGCCCCTTCAGTGGGTTAGGAGCTCTGCCGGCAGGGGCTGCTTCCTCCTGTGCTTCCTGGGAGTGTCCCGGCGGGCAGCCGCACCACCTCCGGGGTGTGCAAGCGGCTTTTTAGTGGTGACACAGAACGGCACCCGTGGCTCTACGTCAAGTTTACTGGAGAGGAAGATGCGCATTTTTCCCCCATGGAGGCTCATAGCACTCCATCGGCTTGAACGACAGTCTGTGTCTCACATACCGCCTCCCACAGCCAGGTAGCAAGGTCTTTCATCCAGTGGTTCACTCCCCAGATGCCCTTGGTCTTCTGGTTCATGTCCCAGATGTCCACAATGGCCAGGCCCATGCCAGGCTGCTGCCAGCAGGGGCCCAAGCTCATGAGGCAGCCTCTGCTGGCTCCTGGGCTGTGTCAGCAGGAAGCTGGGTCAGAAACAGGTCGTGGGTCTGAGTAGGGATGCAGACGCCTCGTTGGTGTCTTCACGCGGCATCAGCACACCTTTCCGGGGAGCACTTGCTTTAGGATGGGCTGCCTCTCCTGGGTGAATATTCCCGAGGAAGTCAGCAGTCAGAACTTGGTAACGGACAGAGCCCAGGTTCTCCAGCTTTGATTTCACCGACCGAGCCTCTTGGGACTGCTTTGAGGATGTCACTTCTTCGTCCAGGCCGAATGGGATCCTTTGATTCAGGCTGTGACTGACCTCAGCTTCTTGTGAGTGTCGGTCAGGACAGAGCCAACTTGGGAAGTCCATGCTTCTTCCAGCTGTTACCTGTCCCTGCGTGCTGCCTTGAACAAGCTCCTCCTTTGGTGTAACCTGTTTGTAGCAGCGGAAGAGCAGAAACACAATGCTACACTTACAGGGTCATTTAGACTTCAAAGGGACAGAGTATTTTCTCAAGTCTTTTAAAATCATGTTGCTTTGTCTGGGAAATTCTAGATTTATTACCACAAATTTGTCATGGTCAATATATTTTCTTTATTTAGTATCTTACGGTGTGGAAAATCACTCCAGATGGGAAATATTATTAGGAGGGATGTGTCTGCCTATTTTATGTTGTAATGTGAAGGTACTTGAGACTACTGAGCGGTCCCTTTCTGGGTTCAGGAAGCAGCTGACTGTGTTTGGAGTGATTATAATTCACCCTTCATCAAATCATTATTAACCACTCAACCTTGCTTATGATTAACTTTCTGATTTAATCAAAAACTTACTGATTTTATCAGAAGTTTTGATTTAACTTTTTTTTTTTTTATGACTCTCCAAGCAAATCACCTGTATTGGTTCCTTTGCCTTTGTATGGGATCTAGAAAAGTTTTCCAGTAATTGCCAACATTGCTAGTGCCAGACTGTTTTGCTCTGCCGTGATCACAGCCAGGTGTCAGTCTCGGTTACCTGTGGGGCCAGCGGTATTCCTCTAATCTTCCTCACCCATGCTGCTCACCATGCTTGCATGCTTTGTTTCTTCTGTATCAAGAGCTTCCTGTAGATTCATAGTTGCATCAAGGAGTGAAACGTGGTTAGACTCCACTTATTGTGTTAGAATGCTGTTGGTTTCTGGTTGGTGTGTTGTTGGACCTACAGCCAAAGCATCCAGGGAGTTGGCAGGTGAGCGTTAGTGCAGAGCCTGAGGATCTGACCCGGTGGTACTGACCTGATCTGGCCTTCTGGCCTGAGGATCTGACCCGGTGGTACTGACCTGATCTGGCCTTCTGGCCTGAGGATCTGACCCCGTGGCGCTGACCTCCTCCTGATCTGGCCTTCTGGCCTGAGGATCTGACCCCGTGGCGCTGACCTCCTGATCTGGCCTTCTGGCCTAAGGATCTGACCCGGTTGAGCTGACCTCCTCCTGATCTGGCCTTCTGGCCTGAGGATCTGACCCGGTGGCGCTGACCTCCTGATCTGGCCTTCTGGCCTAAGGATCTGACCCGGTTGAGCTGACCTCCTCCTGGTCTGGCCTTCTGGCCTGAGGATCTGACCCGGTTGAGCTGACCTCCTGGTCTGGCCTTCTGGCTTCCTAACTTGACTTATCTGAGTAGCTGACTGTGACGATCCGCCCTTGACCCCAGCCAGTGGTTGAAAACTAGCATGGAGATTTCTGGACCGGCTTCCAGAGCCAGTCTGATTGACATGGGGATGTCCTCTAATTCAAGTCAGCTTGTTCTTGCTTTTAATCTGGAGCGAAGGCTGCATGGTGTCGGACGTGTTGTCCTGAGTCTATGCGAGGAGCGCCCGATCTGTTTTCTGCCTCGCTGTGCTGAAGCCCGTGTTGGTCCCATATTGAGCTGTGAAGGATCCAAGGCCTTTGCATTGCCTGGCGACGGCTGAGGAGGAAGTTGTGCCGTTCCCTGGTTCCTCAGGTCAGGTGCCATCCTCTGTGGTGTGGTGTCCTCGTGGGTTTCTGGTGCCAGCCCCGCTTGGGTGCAGCTCAGGCCTCTGCCAGTGCTCACTGCCGTCTTGTGCAGGCTGGGCCGCCCACTTGGCTTCTGCTCTGCTGGGTGCGTCCCACAGGCCTCAGCGACGGGGTCTCTGCTGCTGGGTTTCTTTGGGATGCTAGTGGCAGCCTCGCAGAGGCACTGGAGGATCTCACAGGACTCACTCCGCCCTTGGGCAAGTGCACCTCTCCTCTGACCGCTGGCCTGAGGACCCCTGCACCAGTCCCAGCTGGCCAGAATCCACCTGCACCGTGCAGTGCGCGACCTCCATCTGGGGTGTCAGCCCCAGGGGAGACGGGGCCTCCTGCTGCCCGCTGGTTTCCTCATCTCTCTCCACTGTGTTCACCCAAGCCCTCCCGGCCCCCTTCAGCTGCCTGCCCGCTCTGCACCTTCTCTGCCGCAGCCTCCACCCTTCCCTTCCGTGGCAGCTGCTGGGAAAGGGGCTTTCGGGCGAGGAGAATGAGAACAAACCAGCGAGCACTTTCTGAAGCTTGTCCCTGTCCCACGGCCTGTCAGCATCGACACCCGGCTGCTTGGCGGTTGCAGGTAGTTGCTAAGTTAACTCGGAGCTGGTGGTGCCTGCTTCCCGTTTCTCGAGGGTTAATTCTTTGCACTTTGGGAAGTCCTGGACTCTGCATGTTTTTCTCTTTCACTAAATCACCGACCCATGACTGGTAATGTTTAGGTTTCTTTCCAGGTGTTTGGAGGGGCTGAGAGTTGGCCAGGAGTTCCCTTTGTTTAATGTGTGTATAACTCTTGCTTTTCTAATCTTCCTCTGTGATTTTTATTTCCCGAAGTGCCTGTTTACCCCAGGACCCAGACATTTCCAAACAGAGGTTTATTTATACATTTCCAAAATCCCTAGCGCCTCCACCAGCGGGGCTCCCAAGGTGATCCACGGGGTCTTTAGTGCCTTACTCTGCAAGGAAGGGTGACAGGCAGGCCTCTGGCTCACCATCCTCTGTCGGACGTCCTGTCGGCGCGTCCCTGCTCTCGTCCAGGCATGCGGTGTCGGGTGAGACATGGGGTTGCCCCACATGGGATGACTGTTTCCCGGGGCAGCCATCTGCTCGCAGGGCGTTCAAGGCTGGCTTCTTCCGGAGGCCCTGGGGGGCTCCGCTGGCTGCCCAGACGGTGCTGTCACTGTTTCGTGGTGGGTTTTGAAGCATTGCAGTCTTTCTGGCTGAAGCAAACAGTTTCCAGATGTAAATTCAGCCCTGTCATGTGGCATACGCAGGGTGGTGGTGGGCAGCCCGTGGTGGCCCGCGCGCCCTTCCAACGTCTCCTGTGAGTGTTCTGTAGCGTGTCAGGCCCCGCTGCTGCCCAGTGACAGATTAGGGATTAGTGGACAGCTCTGGTCACTTCCTGTCCAGACAGGAAATACGGGTGTGAGAACTGTCAGCAGGACCTCGACTGGTTTTTGCCCATTCTTGGTACGGGTTTCTTATGTTGGTGTTGCTTAAGCTTCTGGGCTGTTGCTAACTGCGCTGCTCTGCATTCAGGTTCCTCCTGTTGCAAGAACTTGTATGCCTCTTCTGGTTGCTGGCGCTCTCAGTCAGCTGCGGAGTTCCGGGGTGACAGGGAGGGTGTCCGGGCTATGCTGTTAGCATTCGTAAGTGTGTCTTGGCTTAGTTCCTCAAAAACCAGGTGTCAAAGGATTCCACTTAGGGCAGTCTTGTGTTACAGACTCTTAGGAGAGGAGAGGTGGGGTGGGGCGACACGGATGGAGAGAGGTCAGGAGTCAGCTGAGAGGCTCCCAGGCCTTCAGGCCGTGCAGGGTTTGGCTGGGCTCTTCTGGGGTTACACTAGGCTGGAGAAGAGACCCAGGCCTGCCCGAAGATGGGTCTGCCTTGGGGTTCTCTCCTGTCCTGTCACCCACTGAGGGTGTGGCCAGCTTGGCTGACTGCTGGGGGCGACTTGAAAGGGCCCCTGACCAATGGTGCTCCCC